TTACTAGTAGTAACAAGAAGCTACTAGTAACAAGTGCATCGCTACTACTAACAAGTGCCTTACTAGTAGTAACAAGAAGCTATTAGTAACAAGTGCATCGCTAGTAGTAACAAGTGCCTTACTAGTAGCAACAAGAACTATTAGTAACAAGTGCATCGCTAGTAGTAGCAAGTGCCTTACTAGTAGTAACAAAAAACTATTAGGAACAAGTGCATCGCTAGTAGTAACAAGTGCCTTACTAGTAGTAACAAGAAGCTATTAGCAACAAGTGCATCGCTAGTAGTAACAAGCGCCTTACTAGTAGTAACAAGAAGCTAGTAGTAACAAGTGCACTGGGTATCGAAGGCGACACTGCAAAAACTTCTCTTCACATTGCTGCCGAGCACAGTACGGTGTTGGCCAGCGACTGCACAGAATGTCAATTGAAGCTGTGAGTGGTTTGGGTAGGGCAGTGTGGCAGTGTGGCAACATGTGCCAATCATGCCTTGTCAAACTCTGCTTACTGATCCAGTGATCCAAATAAGAAGCTACCAGTAGCTAGAAGCTGCTAGGTGGAGGCCATCGCTGTTAGGTTGGAGGCAATCGCTACTAGTAACAAGAAGCTACTAGTAGCTTCTTGCTCCTAGTAGCGATGCCAGGAGCCCCTAATAGCGTCCTTGCTCCTAGTAACGATGACGGCCTCCGACCCCGATTCGGACTAGAGGGATCGTCTCGTTTTAGCCAGTGACGAAGAAGGCCCGAGCTGGGTGGTCGAGTTTTGGTTGGCCTGAACTAGATGATGAAATCCGGTGGAGGCCATCTGGCCTCTTCTAGGTTGGAGGCCACTGCTATTAGAAACAAAGAAAAGGAACAGGAAGAAACGGTCTAATATAGTTTGCAATTAGGTTGGAGGCCATCGCCAGGCACGGGCCCGAGTCACCTACCAGCAGGTGTGCCGGTGCGGGCCGAGCACTCGGGGGGGCGTTTTCATGTCGTTGTTCGACCCCGAGCCATGGCTAGGGAAAGTTGATGATGGAACTGGCATTCACATAGCCGGCAAAGCATGGTACCGGGACTCACAGAAGGCCGCCTACCACTGCACGACGGCACTTCATGGACAGCCCTTCGTGTTGACTGGAGTGGATTTGAAGGGTGATCGTTTCACGATCTTTGAAGCTCGAAAATCGACTGACAATGGCTCCACTGTCCTCATGGCAACGCCATCCAAGACGATGATCCATAGCTTGATCGACCGAGATGGAGCCACTGAAGTCATCGACATCTGCTCAGGATACGGCATCATGACAGCTGGATATCACCTGATCGGTAGCAAAGTACGGTGCCATGTTGAGATCAATGACAAGTATGTTCAATGGCTTCGTGCACGACAGCATAATGTCATCGCTGGAGACATTGACAGTACAGAAGTGAAATTGGCCTTGCTGCCTTACACACAGGACCCATGCATCATTACGGGAGGTTTTGCATGCCAACCTTTTTCCCAACTCGGAGATGGACGCCAGCAGTATGACCCACGGGCCCGAAGCTTTGAAGGTATGGTTTCTGCATGCTACCTATACCAGCCAGTGGCCCTGATTCTAGAGTGCACCAAAGAGGCGTTCCACTCCTCATGGGTACAAGATTCATTGCAGTCCTTTTGCAAAGCAGCAGGTTACAAGTTCCAGCAACAACTGTGCCACCTACAAGACCTCTGGCCAGCCAAGCGAACACGTTGGTGGGCGGTGATCACCCATCCAGGAGTGCAGATGCCCATGATACAGAGCTTCCCGGCCCTGGACTTTCAGCCTTCGTTCAGACACCTGCTGCCGAAAATGGCAGAATGGCCGAGTGCACAGATCGTTGAACTCACACTCAAACCCCATGAATTGGAAGCTTTTGATAGTCAACCCGGGGGTCTTGGCAAGAACGCCATTTGTCCCAACAAGCCATTGCAAACGGCCCTCCATGCATGGGGATCCCAACTGCACGCCTGTGCTTGCGGTTGCAGGGCCGGAGGTTTCTCCGACCGGCGCATTGAGGAAAAAGGGTTGTACGGGGCACTGATTCCGCTGAATGGGGTCATCAAAGTCCGAGGCCATGATATCCAACAGATGAGGCACATCCATCCTGATGAGGTTGCTATCTTGCACATGGTCCCAACACAGTACATCCAAGGAGACCTAAGGTCCTTGAGACTCGACCTCACTGCATTAGGCCAAATGGCCTCACCAGCTCAATCTCTGTGGCACCTCGCCCAAGTGGTTCAGGCTTTGGATAGAGTGTTTGGGGTCCCATCGTGTCCGGCTCTAGCTGAACGAGCCCTGGTAGGCCTGGCCAACGAAGTTTTTACAGCCAGAGACAACATGCTTGCACCACTCGTTCATACCAAAGAGTCAGCGTTGTTTCAACAAGCTTTCTTCGCTAGGTTCGGATGCAAGACTGACGTCAGGACACCATCCATGCCGCAAATCGTCGCTTCGGTCGCTAGTGAACCGAATCGGACGTATGGGGGGGGGGCCCAAGCGCAAGGCTGAATCAGCAGACACCGAGTCCTTGATCAGCCATCGAGATAATGTCGTCACAGCCACCGGAGGATTAGAGTTCTTTGCCAACAAGCCGAACAAGGCATGTTTGACTAAGGTACCTGCACCTCAGGAGGTTCGAGACATCACCATGCCCTCGCAGCACATCAATGCACGCATGCCCATTCCTGCAGTTGTGCACACCCAAGGTGTCGCTCGTGGAAAGGGAAAAGGGGGTTGCTTAGGGATCAAGGAAACAAAGGACTGCCAAACAGCCGATCTCGACCAAACGCAAGCTTTGGAAAGCCGTAGTTCAGTTCCTGGCAATGAACACCGTCAGCCGATCGATGCCGAGATTGACCCACAGAATCAGACAGAGCACCTCCGCCTGATCTCATCGGAAAGCTTTGCCATCACAGTGTGCAGCAAAGATTGTGCGCCGATCCGCATTCAAGTAGGTAAAGGGGCTACAGTAGGACAGCTGTCTCAAGCCGAGGTAGGGGTGTCGCCACTCGTGCAGCCGATCGTAGTGACCACACTCACTGGGGCTCCACTGCCATTGCAAAGTCTGTTGACTCCGGAAACATGGTATGTCATCGACAATGGAGCCACACATAGTGTTCCCAAGTGCAATTTGGTCCATGCAGAGCGATCCATTCTTTTGCCCACCAATGCCTGTCATCGCTTCCATGCATTGCTGAACCAAGGTCCATTGGTTGCCATTGACGAGATGGAATTTTATGCTTCGCTGGTCCGCAGTCAAGGACACAATGTAAGCAAACCCATCGTTATCGATGCACATGAAGATCCAGACCAACTGATTGCCACATGGGTGCTCCAGTGTATGCATGACCACGATGACGACCCATCGCATCAGGTCTTTCTAGCCCCTGTCTTGGTTTTGAGCCATTGGATTCCACTGGCAGCACATGTCCACCAAGGTCATTGCACAGTGTTCATTCCACATGACATGGACCGCCACATCCGCCCGTGGATCATCGAATCATGCGGCTTGGGAGACCTTAGCTTTGAGACATTCATGCAGCCCACCATGTTCTCAGCTGACTGTGGTTTCCAAACGGTAAATTGGATGTTTGCACATGTCATCGGCACGACCAATCCACGGGCAGCCACGCCAGCTCAGGCGGATCAATGGAGAGCTCCATTTGCTCGTCACACCATTACCATGAACATGATGACTGGGCACAGCCTGCGACTGGGTGGGGTACTACAGCCTGATCAATTGTTGTTGCAGTCGTTACTCAAGCAGCACGGAGTGAGCCAAGAGAGGTTGTCCACATGTGCCACCCATCTGATTAGTCAGCTAGGAGCCGACGCTGTCACAAAAGCCCTTGCCAGTTCACAACCATGGAAAGATCTCAAGACGCTGGCGTCCCAAGCTGTCCCACCCATCAGGATCGTGCTGGCCTCGGAACTCGATGCGGCTGTGCAGACAAGACTCGCCAGTGCAAAGCCTTTCGGGTCTAAGTCGAACAAAAAGCCGACGGCCAATAGCAACAAGCCGCCCGTCATCCCGTCGGCAGACCAGATCAAATTGCCGGACTCGATCTTTATGCAACAAGATGGACAGAAATTGTCGGCCATCCCGCTGCACAAAGTTGAAGCACATGCACAAGGCATTGCATTGTGCAACATCCAGGATGTAGAACACCTGCTGAGTCTCTCCGCACCGATTTCAGCTGAGGGTGTGGCGTTGTTGATTTTAGATCACGCAGACAGCAGGCTCCCGTCCCAGGTTGGGCATATTCGTGTTCCGGCCATGGCCTCAGGTACAGGTGAACCGATGTTGGTGTCTGCTGCCATGCTTCAACTAGGGGCCAAACGGGTTCTGCGTCATGTGCCGACAGAAAGCTTTGCAGTCGAAGAAATCCAAACAAAAGTCCTCAAGATTGTGGTCTATAGGGATGAATGGACTGGATCATGGACACAATTTCTGTCCCACCCAGTGAAAGCAGTCTTCGACCACCCGATCCTGCAGGTCCACGAACTCCCATTGGCTGACCATATCCTTGATGTCTGGGACCGACAAATGCTGGACGCTAAGTTAGGAAGAGCCCAGGCCAGTCAGGCAGAGGTGTTTGCCTTCCAGGTCCGCACCACAGAAGCATTCGCCACGCAGTTGATGCACAGCGCAGCCGTTGACGGCATCTATGCAGAGCCGAGAACCATGGATGGTCGCAAACCTGACCCTGCTTTCAGGGTAGTCTGGATGCCGCGGTTGTCATTAGCCCAAGTCCGCTTAGCCCGTAGCCAGACAGAAGCAAAGACCACTGTGGTCAGAATGGGGGCTAGATTTGGGCTCCGAGTTGACAAAGAGCAAGCTGAAAAAGTCCATGCCCAGCATAGGCCGGATCTGATGTTCCTGGACGGACATGAACTGAGGCCGTACAAGGTCGGCCCTTTTCCATATGGCTCGACCAAAGCATCGATCACCAAAGGGCTCAAGCACATCGGCTGGAATGCACGTCCGGTACAGCCCATGTCACAGATGCAGGTCCAGGAGGGGATCTTCTGGCAGGTGACAGCACCTCATGAGCCTTCGCACTGGATCTACCAAATGAAGCATGGAGATATCCTCATCGCCAAGCTTGACAGCCAAAAGGAAGCTCCGTTGCCAAGCATGACGAACATCATCGCTTCCAAACAGACCATCACCAAGTTGGCTCAGACGCACCCCGATCCACAGGCAGATCCGTGGCTGCAGGCAGATCCATGGCAGTCAAATAGCACTAACCGCAAGCAAGGGCCGACTTCGCAGCCCCATGTTGCCACACCAGGACAGCTTGCCGCGTTGGAACAACGCCTCGAACAGAAGATCCATGCTGCCAAGCAGGCCTCTCCCGAGGCATCAATGCAAGTTGATCAAACTGCGAGGATTGAAGCC